CTGTAGTAGTCTATTACTTATCATTGCCTGTAGTAGTCTATTACTTATCATTGCCTGTAGTAGTCTATTACTTATCATTGTCTGTAGTAGTCTATTACTTATCATTGTCTGTAGTAGTTTATTACTTATCATTATCTGTAGTAGTCTAATACTTATCATTATCTGTAGTAGTCTATTACTTATCATTATCTGCAGTAGTCTATATCTTATCATTGTATGTAGTAGTCTATTACTTATCATTGAATGTAGTAGTCTATTACTTATCATTGAATGTAGTAGTCTATTACTTATCATTGCCTGTAGTAGTCTATTACTTAAAATTGCCTGTAGTAGTCTATTTCTTATCATTATCTGTAGTAGTCTATTACTTATGATTGTCTGTAGTAGTCTATATCTTATCATTGTCTGTAGTAGTCTATATCTTGTAGTAGTCTATTACTTATCATTGAATGTAGTAGTCTATTACTTATCATTATTTGTAGTAGTCTATTACTTATCATTATCTGTATTAGTCTATTACTTATCATTATCTGTATTAGTCTATTTCTTATCAATATCTGTAGTAGTCTATAACTTATCATTATCTGTAGTAGTCTAATACTTATCATTATCTGTAGTAGTCTTTTACTTATCATTATCTGTAGTAGTCTTTTACTTATCATTATCTGTAGTAGTCTAATACTTATCATTATCTGTAGTAGTCTTTTACTTATCAATATCTGTAGTAGTCTATAACTTATCATTATCTGTAGTAGTCTAATACTTATCATTATCTGTAGTAGTCTATTACTTATCATTATCTGTAGTAGTCTATTTCTTATCAATATCTGTAGTAGTCTATTACTTATCATTGTCTGTAGTAGTCTATATCTTATCATTATTTGTAGTAGTCTATTACTTATCATTATTTGTAGTAGTCTATTACTTATCATTGTTTGTAGTAGTCTATTACTTATCATTGTCTGTAGTAGTCTTTTACTTATCATTGTCTATAGTAGTCTATTACTTATCATTATCTGCAGTAGTCTATATCTTATCATTGTATGTAGTAGTCTATTACTTATCATTGTCTGTAGTAGTCTATTACTTATCATTGTCTGTAGTAGTCTATTACTTATCATTGTCTGTAGTTGCCTATTACTTATCATTGCCTGTAGTAGTCTATTACTTATCATTGCCTGTAGTAGTCTATTACTTATCATTGTCTGTAGTAGTCTATTACTTATCATTGTCTGTAGTAGTCTATTACTTATCATTGTCTGTAGTAGTCTATTACTTATCATTGTCTGTAGTAGTCTATTACTTATCATTGTCTGTAGTAGTCTATTACTTGTCATTGTCTGTAGTAGTCTATAAGTGATTATCATAAAAAACAGAGTACTTACCTTTTGAGTTGTTTGAGCTGGAACATTGTCCTATAAAATAATAGAGACATAATGACCAGCCTTATAACAATATTGTACAAGCAACCCAAAATCATCCTGCATATGTTTTCAAAATGATTGATTTGAGAAGAAAAAATATATTAGTATAACATTCCTGAAACATAAACTTATTTAAGTGTTTTAAAAGTTGAGCCCCTATTGGGCTCCATATTTCTGACTTTCCATGATATATTCAGTCACATCACCATCAAGCATTATACCACCATTGTAGTATTTGGGATGTATTTCTAGACAACTGTTTTGTAGGATTCATTACAGGAACATTATAGTGTAGGGTTCTATAACAATGTAGTGTTAGATCCACTACACAACGTTAAGAGTCTGATTTGTGAGATTTAGGTTCTTATTCCCTATTTGCTGTAATAACTTTAGCAGGAAGATTTTTACGATGTCCATACAATTACAAGGGAGAACGAGATCCGATGTCTGCTAGTAGTGTGTTCAATGAAGTCCTGCATACTCCAGGTGATGATTCTTAAATGGAATTCACAAGTCCAGCCTTAAGGGTAATCGAAAAATCAAAAGATGCGATGATCAGACAACATAAAATGTTTCGGCAAATGTAATTCAGTTTTGGCCAACTAGGTGGGTCACCATCAGAACCAGAGAATTTTACAAAACTCCCTATTGGACATTTTCTGAGGTTAGTGGCTTCACAAGACACTGGGTTGGAGCTGATATCTCATGACTAATTCACTAGACACTGGGTTGGATCTGATATCTCAAGACTTCACTAGACACTGGGTTGGAGCTGATATCTCATGACTTCACTAGACACTGGGTTGGAGCTGATATCTCACGACTTCACTAGACACTGGGTTGGAGCTGATCTCTCACGACTTCACTAGACACTGGGTTGGAGCCTATTAGTGATCATTATCTGTAGCAGTCTATAAGTGATCATTATCTGTAGTAGTCTATTAGTGATCATTACCTGTAGTAGTCTATTAGTAACCATTACCTGTAGTAGTCTATTAGTAATCATTACCTGTAGTGGTCTATTAGTGATAATTACCTGTAGTAGTCTATTAGTGATCATTATCTGTAGCAGTCTATAAGTGATCATTACCTGTAGTAGTCTATTAGTAATCATTACCTGTAGTAGTCTATTAGTGATCATTATCTGTAGTAGTCTATTAGTGATCATTACCTGTAGTGGTCTATTAGTGATCATTATCTGTAGTAGTCTATTAGTGATCATTATCTGTAGTAGTCTATTAGTAATCATTACCTGTAGTGGTCTATTAGTAATCATTACCTGTAGTGGTCTATTAGTAATCATTATCTGTAGTAGTCTATTAGTGATCATTATCTGCAGTAGTCTATTAGTGATCATTACCTGTAGTAGTCAATTAGTAATCATTACCTGTAGTAGTCTATTAGTGATCATTATCTGTAGTAGTCTATTAGTGATCATTACCTGTAGTAGTCTATTAGTAACCATTACCTGTAGTAGTCTATTAGTAATCATTACCTGTAGTGGTCTATTAGTAATCATTACCTGTAGTAGTCTATTACTACTATAAGGTTGAACAGAGTTTATAGTCGTCCAACCAGGTATGTTTCTGGCAAAATATCATTACCCTGGACATTTTGGTTATACAGAACAAGTCATTTAAAGATTTAAACATATATTGACCACTGTGACCTTGCATATTGGCGAAGGTCATTCATTTGAAAAAACCTGGTAGTCCTTAATCCCAGCATGTTAATGGCCAAATATCATCATCCTTAGCCTTTTGCTTATTGAGAAGAGGTCGTTAATAATGGTTTTAAACATATTTGACCCATGTGACCTTTAATATATGTCGAGGTCATTCGTTTGAATAGACTTGGTAGTCCTTCATCCTAGCATCATACTGGCCAAACAGCATCATCCTAGGACTTTTGGTTATTGAAAAGATGTTGTTTAAAGGTTTTAAACCTATTTGACCATTGTGACCTTGAGTAATTGTCAAGGTCATTCATTTGATTAAACTTGGTAGCGCTTCATCCCAGCATGCTACAGGCCAAATATTATAACCCTCAGCCTCTTGGTTATTGATAAGAAGTAGTTTTAAAGGTTTTAAACATATTTGACCCCTGTGACCTTGAAAATGGGTGAAGGTCATTTGTTTGAACAAACTTGGTAGCCCTTCATCCCAGCATGCTAAAGGCCAAATATCATAACCCTTCAGGCCTCTTGGTAGTTCAGAAGAAGTTGTTTAAAGATTTCAAACATATTTGACCCCTGTAACCTTCAGGCCAGGTGAGCTAATTAAAAAGCTTCACTCCACTAGCCAGCATATTGCAAGGTTCTTTTTTCTTATCAACTGGCCATACAGATTGTAAATTTATCACAGATATCCCATTTTTCAACAGGCAACTCTTCATATGATTCTCATTAAACACACCAAATCCCAAAAGATTCTATCAAAACTTTGAGACAGACCAACAGAGGGATAGCATGGATAATGTGACATGCTCCACATGTGGAGGGCATAGCAAAAGAAGGGATCAATGTCATGATTTGGGCTACTCTTATGTTATTAAGAAGCTATTGTCTACAGAAAGTTTAAGAAACAGTTAAGTAAAGATAATACATTATTTTGTTTCCCAATATACATACGTCTTGTACTTCTTTCAAAATGATGGTTTCTGTGCGACTGACGGATGCCTGTTTGTGGTAATCTATAAGCTTGGTGATGGAGGGAAACTTAACAACCCATAAAAAGAACTTGCCAGATCCGTCACGTAAGATTTTGAAGTGCTGTACGTCCTTGTTAAATCTGAAATAAAGCAAAATTTATATATTTTTATAAAGAATTCAGGTCTAAATTCTGTTTTTAATTACAAATACATTGAATAAATCAAATCAATACATATACTCAAACACGGTACAGAGTAACAAGTTACGGTACTGTTAGTGAATTCCACACATGATATGCTCATACTCCTTTTCTCAATCAACCATCAAAACTGAATAGTATTGCATCCCTTTGCCCATTTTCTAATTTAGAAAAAAAGATATATTGCCTCAGGGTTTTGCTTATCTATTTTTGCTATGAGGCTGCCTGCTCTGTAGTTTTGGAGGAGATTCTCCAGGAACGCTAGTCACTTCTTTTGTGTAATTTTTATCCCCATGGACTAAGGATGTTACAACCACAATAAACCTGTTGAGTAGTCCAGAGATATAATTTAAAGCTACTCATTCAATATGACCCCTTTGACCCCGTCCCCTGGAGGTATTTATAAACATGGACTAAGCATGCTATCACTACAATTTGATTGAAATCTACCGATAGGTTAAGAAGGAAACATTATCAGTAACCAAGTTGACCCCTTTTACCCGACCGTTCAACCCCCCCCCCCCCCCCCAGATAGGTCTCTGGATCCGCCACTGTACAAACAAAAGCAACATGTGAAATGGACCCTTTGGGGCTGTTACATATATGTATGTGAAAAATGTTTCAGTTCGTAGAGATCATTTTTACTTGTGATGTTGAGTAACTGGCAGTATTACATGATACATTTGTACTTAGAAGAATAAAATCACACACGATGTCTCCTAGTCGCAATATATTTTTAGTAAATATAAATAGGAATACATATCTTAACGTGTTGTAGGTTGCTGAACTGTTATTGGTTTTTTGAGTATCAATTTTTGATGCAGTGCAACTAGATAACATAATGAACCTGTTAAACGTTTTAGCCCCTAATAAATGAAAATATGGTTTACACTCCATATATAGTGCATAAACATTATAATAGTCAACAACCTGTCTCAAAAAACTTGTTCAAAAACTTAAACCTGAAGTGGGATGCTGACAGGGCTACATTCAATGTATTAGCCCTCCTCCAATTCTTCGAATAGTTTAACTAACAAAGTTCACAAGATATACTTTTTGTTGAAAACATGATATTAACAGAAATGTGCTATTAAACAACATGGCATTAAGTGGAGTGTACTTGGGTTACCTGATGGACAGAGAAAAATCTCCGGGTGAACTTTCACTGTCCCTTAAAAGAAAATTTCCATCAGGATAATGATCTTTCAACAGTATTTCTTCTGCTTTCTTTCTTGAAATTTTCCCTTTATACCACCTATTAAAACAAACAAAAGAAGTTTAACCAAGAGAACGGAAACACAACACAACACAACACAGAGAAAACAGATTGTGAGATTTCAACAGCAATGGCAATAATATCTCAGTGAAAGATTAATTATTCCTATGTATGTCAAGTCCATACTTCAAGTGGAATAAAATCTTCCACTGCTTTGGCTGAAATTCTCAACACTGGAATGTGTCTGCGTATAGACTGGCATCATCACGCTACTCCATTAAAGACACATGTTTGTGATGTAGTATCATTATGGATGTTTGTGATGTAGTATCATTATAGATGTATGTGATGTAGTATCATTATAGATGTTTGTGATGTAGTATCATTATAGATGT